TTCTCTGTCTACAGTGTATCTATAGGAAAAAAAGCTCTGCTTGGCTGATAGTAATAGCAAGAGTCTGGAAAGACTAAATTTGTGAGCTACACATTGCAAAATCTCCCGACCAGGCTTTGGACTTGTCCAAAAAAATTTAACTCTTCCAAACTTTGTATAAGATGCTGGCAAGCATTTCATAGCTCAAAACAGAAATCTAGTGAGGCATCACAAACTGGTGCTTCTGTACACACAGTGGAATAACTTCAGTGGTTGGCAGGCGAAGTGAACCAGTTTGACAGGTCAGCACTTGTATACATAGTGAGGAGCCTTATTTCTGCATTTGGCTGTTCCCTACTGATAAATTCCATATGAAAAAGCATTTTTAAAGGGAAATATTCACAAAATGGCTGAAATTCTTTTGTTTAATCTGCAACTAGAGCCCCCTTCACCTAGGCTGAATCAGTGGGGATTTGGTGAATCAATTCCTCCATAAATTCCATTGATTCAATGGGCCTACTCTAGCTTTGACTTACTACACAAAGCAACAGGACTTCAAACAATGCGTATTTTGTAAAACAAAAGTTTCAAAATACTGCAAATTTGTGTGTTCTCATATGAGTGCCTTTTTTTTTAAATTGCAGATTGATATAGACATGGAACCAACTAAATCTAGGAATGAAAACTTTGCTCTTCTTTTGAGTAAACGGCCAGAATCCTCTAGCCACTGCTGGCGGAATATCTCTAATAGTGACAGATACTTTAAAAAAAGTTTGGAACACACTCATAAAACTGACACAGACCCAAAATAAACTAATCTGACCATGGTGACTTAGAATTCTCTCTTAGAGATCCCTAGAAGCTCTCATGCAAGGGCATCTTTGACACAATTCCCGGGGGAAACCAGATGACATACCAAATTGAGGCCACATGTGGAACGAAAGAAGTCCATGCTTTGGAACGAAAGAAGTCTTAAGAGTAAACAGAATCCTAGTTTCTTCTGCCTTTTCCGTATTCCCTCTCCCCTTCACCAAGGCTGATTTATTCCCTTTTAACCACCTGCTCCCATGACTTATTATTTTACATGTCTGCTGTAAGGAAATACACAGGGCCTCAGTTGTCGCAACAAGAACCTGGAAAAGTTCCGTTTTTGGATAACATTTCCCAGAATGGCCCAACCTACTGTAGTGCAGAACTCATTTCCCCAACCTATGGAACAAGCTAGAATTTAAGGTAACAACAGTCCTCCAAGTACAGACATAGGAAAGCTGTTTTATCCCAAGCCAATTTTTACTCATGAACAACTGTAGCAGGCAGAGGGTGGAAAAGTTACTTTTTTGGGTTGCAACTCTCCAAATTCCCCAACCAATGTTCTGGACGTTGTGTTCAATATCACAGTTAGTAGACTACTATATCACACGGCACACCTGATCCTGTCTGATCTGGAATGTTCTGCAGGGCCAGGCGTGGTTAATACTTGGATGAGATTCCACCGAGAAATACCAGGATGCCAAAACAGAGCTAGAAAAGATTCCTTTCTTGAAACCCTGGAAAGCTGCTGCCAGTCAGAGTGAACAATAATGGAGTAGATCTATGGTTCCCCACCTTGGGTCCCCAGATATTCTGTGATTATGTCACGGATTTGGCGACAGTAGAAACACGCAGAGTTATTGAAGACACAAGTTCTTCTTTGTTGCAAGATGGTTGTATTTACAAGTATTTACAGATATTTACAGGCAGGCATCTCAACAGCATGGCAGGAACTCTTTATACAATCGGGCATAATGCATGGCAGCAAGTGGTAGAGGAGGAAGAGAAAGACACAAAGACACAGTCCACTTATATACATGTACATGGCATTTTTTGTCCAATCAGAAGACAGATGACTTCATCCTTTGCACCTGGTCTTCTTCTGGTTTCAAGACATTGCATCATCTCCAGAGTGATTCAGCATTCTCACATCTGTGCACAATGGCAGCTCGTTAATGAAACACTTATACATGTTCAGGCCTACAAAATTTCTATATTCTGACAGACTACACCTCCCAGAAGCCTTTGCCAGCACAGCTAGTGGTGAAGGCTTCTGGGAATTCTAGTCAAATAACACTTGGGGACCCAAGGTGGGGAATCCCTGGAACAGATGCCCGGAGTCAGTAGAATGCAGCTTTATGGTGCTAAACAGTAGGAGATATTATGACCGCTTGAAGGTCATTCAAAGCCAAATAACTGAAGTGGGAGCAAGAGAATTAAAGATCAATCATGGGAAGGCTCTAGAGATGAAAATGGTCTTGTTTCTCTTCCAGAGTTGAAGCCCCTCAATTTCCCCACATTTTATGTTTTTGGATTTATAAAAGCTTAGGTGTGTTTAAGTAGAATTCTTATATCTTCAGTTCCCTTTTTCTCTTGCATCTTTTCCTTCTGTCCATGCTAAATATTTACTTTTTCATTTTCTTTGCTGCATTTCAGTTTGTTTTCTTACACTTTGTTGACCTTTTCTTTGTATTTTTATTCTCTCTTGGCTCAGAACTTCCAAATTCGTTATGTGTGTTGATAGAACCAGTTGGGCTTTAAATAAGGATTTTATTTTTTTTTAAAGCCCTCCAAACTTCATTTTCAGAGTTCTGGCACAGATCCACCTGGCAAGTGGAAGGAATTAGAACTTCTGCTCAAGAGGGGAGAGAACAGCAGCTCTGACTGATTTAGGAATCAGATGGAAGTTATAAATGTGTATGGCGTGTGCATGCATGCACTTGTGGTGATATTTCCACAGGGAAATAAAATCATATATTTAGCTCTTAGTCTTAGGGCTGGTCTGCTGTGAGGTAGAGAAAGGCAGCTGGCTCAGGGAGCAGATCCTGAGTGCCATGGATGGACAATTGCTTTGTTTTGATTGCATTTTTTTTAATTTATAGGGATGAGGAGGGGTCATTGCAGGACTTTCTTGCTAATGACTTTACCTCCTCCCCACCATCATTGTCTAGAGTCAGTGTGGTCTAGCATTTTAGCTACCTCCTCCCCACCATCATTGTCTAGAGTTAGTGTGGTCTAGCATTTTAGTTCCCAACCTTGGGTAACCCAAGTGTTCTTAGATTAAAATTTCCAAAAGCCTTCCCCACTAACTCCCCAGAGACCTTTGGGTAGTGTGAGCGGCATATAAATTAAATAAAATAAATAAAAAATAACTGTGTTGGCCAGATTTCTGGGATTTGCAGTCTAAGAAGATCTGGGGACTCAAGACTTGGAACCACTGTTCTGGTGGCTAGAATGTTGGGCTAGGATTTAGGAGAACTGGGTTCAAATCCTGGCTCAACCATAGAAACTCACTAGGGGGTTGGCAATGGGAAAACCACTCATTCATTGAACATCTCACATACCTTGAAAACTGCATGAGAGTAACCATTAGTTGGAAGCAATTTGATGACACATAACATCTTTTTAGTTGAGGAAGGGCTGCAGAATTAGCAGCCCTTTGACTCATTCCCACATGAGCTGAGACTTTGGCAAAGGGCTTTTAACTTCTTCTCTCCCAGAATGAGCTTCGGGAAGAGGAACCGGAGCTGCTGACGTCCATTGGCCTGTGAGCTGGTTTGCACATCAAATGACATATGAAGGGCTCTTTCTTGCTATTTGCACTGTGCAGGACGGAGTGGGAGGACTGGAGAAGTGCATCGTTGATGTCTCAGTTTCAGTAGGATTAAAATGCATCACCGGGGTGACATTTTCTGCTTGAAGAGGAGAAGCTAATGGTACCCCAAGTCATGCTGTGCACTACCAACCAAATTCTAGTCTCTACGCAAGGCAGAAAAGCCGGCTAGCTCCTGCCCCCTTGCAATCAAAATATAACTCTCTGCAACCCATCCATGACAAATGGCTGCCCTTTAATGACTTGAAATCTGCCACCCGAGTCAAATTACTCACCCTCTAGGGCTGTCTCCGTGTGCAATAAACCTGGTTCACTCTCAGCCAGGTGTCACAACGGAGAGGTAGAATACTGAGATGGTGAAATGGATGGCATCATTGCCGGCACGAAGTGGGAGGAAAGATTGAATTGTATTTGTTAATGCTGTGGTTAAAACCCCCTGAGAATAGAAAAACCAGCCTAGTAGGATAGGAATAGGGAGAAAAGCTTTGTCCCCATCTGTTTTATATTCTGGATGTTATTTTTAAATATGTTTTGGTGTGGTTTTTGTTTTTTTTCATTTTGGGCGGCTGCCAGAGTGGTGTTTCCCATAGGTAATCGGACGTGATGCAGTGCATTTTGCCATTTCTTTCAGTTACATGGGGAGGACCCATGGGTGCGGGTTGAGATTTGCAAACCATTCAAGGTGAGGTAGGTGAACTTCCAGCTAACCAGCGGGCCTCCTAAATTCTGCAACCCTCATTTCTGCAAACTACAACAGATGGAAGCCAACTTACGAATAAACACTTAGTTAGAATCTATAACTGGTAAACATCTCAGAGGGGGGGAAAATAAGGAAATCAGCGGGGGTGGGGAGAGACAAACCAGAATGCAGATTCCCTGCAGCAGAAATAAATCATTTTAGCTGGAATATCTATGCCTATGCAATGATAGCAACCATAACGTTTTAGCGGAAAAGGACCGTAGGTGGCTATAATTTGCATTAGGGGAACCAGCCGAGCAAATCTAAAAGTCAATTTACTTAAGATTGACATTGGTTTGATGTTCGTTGTGATCAACATTGAAACAAAAGCAAAAGGCAACAAAAGGGCAGAGATGTCAAAGATACTATGAAGGAGAGAAACTGCCCTGTTATTGTCCCTTCCAAAGCTTGGTGCAACCATCTTAAAGTCGAAAAATCTGCATTGGCAGAGGTTAATGGTTAAAAACATAAAAGTGTGGTATAGATTTGCTATAAGTCATGACTAGAGGTAGCCAGTCATCCCAGATGGTTGGCTGGTCTTCATTGCTCCATTTCCTATGAAGGATTCTGCAAACCACATACACAGAATGCAGGACAGCCTTGTAACCATTTCTTTGTTCTTTCCCTACAATGTCTTAGGTAACGTCTTCGTGGTCAGCCTTTCCGTGGCAGATCTTGTGGTGGCTGTGTACCCATACCCTCTCACCTTGAGTGCCATTTTCCACGATGAATGGACCCTGGGACATGTTCATTGCCAGGTCAGTGGTTTCTTCATGGGCTTGAGCGTGATCGGTTCGATTTTCAACATCACCGCCATCGCCATCAACCGGTACTGTTACATTTGCCACAGCCTCCGCTACGACCGGCTCTTCAATCTGAAGAACACCTATGGGTATCTCTGCCTGACGTGGGTGCTGACCTTGATGGCCATCGTGCCAAATTTTTTTGTGGGCTCCTTGCAATACGACCATCGGATTTATTCGTGCACTTTTGCTCAGACGGTCAGCATGTCGTACACCATCGCCGTCATCGTGATCCATTTCCTCCTGCCGCTCTCCATTGTGACTTTCTGCTACCTTCGGATCTGGATCTTGGTTATTCAGGTCAAGCACCGAGTGAGGCACGACTGCAAGCAGAAAGTCAGAGCGGCCGACGTCCGGAATTTCCTGACCATGTTTGTCGTCTTCGTCCTTTTTGCGGTCTGCTGGGGCCCCTTAAACTTCATTGGCTTGGCGATCTCCATTAATCCTTCCAAAATCGCACCGCAGATACCAGAGTGGCTTTTTGTGGTGAGCTACTTTATGGCTTACTTTAACAGTTGCTTGAACGCTGTGATATATGGCCTCCTCAACCAAAATTTCCGGAAGGAATACAAAAGAATCCTCGTCTCTCTCTGGACTCCACGGTTGCTGTTTGTCGATATCTCCAAAGGTGGGACGGAGGGGATCAAAAGCAAACCATCCCCTGTGGTGACAAATAATAACAACAACCAAGCTGAAATATACTTGTAAATGGAAGGAAATCTATTTATGCTGCTCCATCTGCACTGTGTCAAATACAGTACCCTATAAAGCTCTTGCTATATATGCTGCTTGAGGACTCCTTATTGTCAAATCTGACTGATGCAAATAATCCCAAGGCCTCCATCTCTTGCACTCTTTGCAAACAGCCCTCTCTGAAATGGGGAGTGTTATTTTGGGGAACTACAGTTCCCAGATTACTGCAGGCCAGCATGACTGCTACGCTGAGCTGTTCTGGGACCTATTCTCATTTCATCAGGCATTCCCATGTCTGCAAAGCCGGTTTATGGAGCTGCAAGGGCTTCTGGCCAAAGAGTATGTACTGTGTGGGGAGGAACCCCTTTTTCAAAGGCAGTCTTGGCCCCAAAATTGCAAGGCAACTATATATCATACTCGGTCATTAACCTAGTTCAATCTTTTCTGCTTAAGACTGGCAGAATTCTGCATGATGTAGGTGACGTTCTGTCCCATCATTTAACTGGTGCTGTGGATCAGAGGTGTGTGGATTGGAGTTTCTGGACTACAGCTTCAGCCCTTCTCCAGGCAGCTAGCCTACCTGGAGAATTCTGGGAGTTGTAGTCCAAAAAACCCACAAGTCTTCACACCTCTGCTGGGGACCAGAGGTGGATCCTTTTGGAAGCAAAGCATGTGTTGAACTCTTAAACGATGGTCCTTTCTCTCTGAGTCTAAGCCAATCCCCACTCACCCACCTGCCCACCAATCCAGATTCCCACTGTATCCAAGGCTTTCAGCAGCGCTTGGAAAAATTACTTTTCAAGATGCAAAATCCCATGGTCGGTCAAAACAGTTCGGTCTGCATGCCAAGCGTTGGCCAGGAGTTGTAGTCTTCCAAAAGTAAGCTTTTCAAGCACTGAACTGCGCTGGCTTGTCTATTATTGTTGTAGTTATAAATAACTATTTTCTACAGTGTAAGAGTGGGATGTGCCTGTTGCACATTATGCCATAACTCTCCAAGATGAGAAATATTCCAGAAAGGGTCCATACTGCTCCAGAATACAGTGGTGCCTCGCTAGACAATGATAATCTGTTCCACTGAAATCGCTGTTTAGCGAAATCATTGTCTACCAAAAAGCATTTCCCCATTGGAATGCACTGAAACCTGTTTAATGTGTTCCAGTGGGGAAGAATTGTCATTGTCTAGCGAAGATCGGCCATAGGAAAGCCGCTTTGCGAACCGCCAATCAGCTGTTTAAATCGCTGTCTTGCGAAGCTTAGGTCCCGAAAATCAGTTTGCGAAGCAGGGACCAAATATTGTCCGGCGAAATTCCCCCATAGGAATCACTGTTTTGCGAATCGCTATAGCGATCGCAAAAAGTCAATGTTTAGCAAAAAAAAACTGTCATGCGTGGTAACTGTCTAGCGAGGCACCACTATACATAGAGCTATTTGGAGCAATGGAGAGCTTGCTGTTCTTTTTCTTCCTGTTTCATTGGCTGATTTGTCCCACACTTCTTCTTCTTTCCTTCCTTCTGGCATGCCTTTGCTAAAGTATGAAAACTCTGAGCCACATTAACAGATAGAGTGCTATTTTTGATCACTATCTGTAGGAACCAGTGTTTCCCTACCAGTGTCTCCCTATGGGTTGCCCCACACAACGTCCTTCCACAATGCTCTTGAAAATCAAGAAGAGTTATTCAGATAATTTTTCAAATGTACCACATAAATCAATAGTTTAATCTGATCAGTCTGCAGCCCAGCGATCTATAGGAAGGTACTCCATGGGCTGTACAAAATCTCCCGAAGCTGGAGAGAGCAGTCTACCATCAAAGAAGAAGAACTGACCACATGAGGTGTCTACCTGAGGGTGCAGAAAAGTTCCCTCGCTGGTTCCTCTGGAAAGTTGATATTGGCATCAATGGGGCAAATATGGCTTCCAGAATTTTTCTTAGGAGACCAACAAGAGAAGAAACTTTCCCATCCATACTTGCTTTGATCTCTTAATTGGTACTGCTCCCTCCAGCTCTGTTGAGGCCATTTCTGCACCTCAAATGAATTGTGGTCCTTAGAAGTGGAGCTTGGAAATGTAACTTTTCTGTAAATTGTACATTTTCCAATTTCTGGGAGTTCTACCTCACAGATGGACACCTAATTGTGGCTCACCTGGGAGAAAGGTCTCAACTGCCAGGCTCTGAGGCTTGCTAGGCCTAGCTCTGTCCAAGCTTCCTGTTCCTGCCCCAGTGCTAGCTGTCTCTGAACAGGAAGCTAGGCCGAGCTAGGCCGAGCTCAGCCTCAGAGTTTTCCAATTGAGGCATTTCTCCCAGGTGAGACACAAATTAGGTGTCTGTAGGTTGTCGATCTGTGAAGTAGAACTTCCCAGAATGGAGAATTATGTAGTCCAAAAAAATCCCCAAACCTCATCCCTCACTCTGAGCGCAGAACTTAGATGCAGAGTCTTGCTATTGATGATGCAAGACTCCCGGTAATTTTCAACATGGAGTGGAACCGTCATTGCAACAAGAATTTGGCTGTAGCCAAGACTGATCTGACTTCAGGGGCCCCAGATATGAAACATGGAAAGCAATCTCATGCTGAGACAGAGATGGCTGGTTCCTGTTATCCTGTTCTACCTGCATTAATTGGGGATGATTCCCCTGGTTTTAGGTAGGAGTCTTTTCTAACCCTCCATGAAGGGATCAGTGAACTGAGCACCTTCTATATGTCAAGCATGTGCTCCATTGTTGAGCAACTGCCCTTTATCTCAACTTGAAACTAAGTTTCACACCTCTTGTTTCTGATTAAGTAAAAATGGAGGAAGCCACTTTCTGCCAAGGGAGACCATTGAGTTGCCCATGCGTTCATCAGCATTGGTTTTTCAGAGACTCAGAATCTATCCCATCTCCACCTAATTTAACCTGGGACGAGAAGCATACGCCCTACCAGGTCTACTAAGGGAGCTGTACAGTGTGATTTGCTTCATTTTAAATGCTGTGATGATGGTTTCTCAAACAAGCAGCTGTCTTTTCAAGCTTCAAGAATTTCTCATCCAGGCTTTTGACTCTTCCCACACCACTCAGTGACAGTCCTTCAACACTCAACTGAAAATTTGGGTAGACCTTTTTTTTTCTTGTGCAACATTCCTTTCCATAAACCGTTCCAACTGTGTTGACCTCAGTTGGACTAGTGAGAAGCAGAATTAGTCTTGTCATCGTTGATGCATGAATGCAATTAATCCGCCAATGTTTAGAAAGGGATTAATTAATCCCAACCCCGTTTAAGATTACAGTCTCTCTTTCTCCTCTCCCACCCCCCCATCCCTTTGGCCTGGCCAGCTGTGCTTGCTGGAGTATTCTGGGACTTGCTTGTCCAGAAATAACTTTTCCAACTCTGGAATCAACACACACAAGAATCCGCAAAATGAACTTTTCAAAGCACCCCAAGAAGGGGACGAAATATTAAGTGTGCACAAAGGATATCCTGCGGTTAAAGAAAAATCTGTACTGACCTCAGGACTGTCTGATCTCTAAGGAGCAATCTGTACCCATCGTTCAGGATTACTTGAGTCCCCTGACTTTTGCACAAGAATCTCATGTCCATCAGAATCTAGGTGTTAAATCAACTTTTAAGGCTCAGGGCAATTGAAGTTAATTTATACCCTGGCCTCTAAATTAGAATTGGAACATTGTCTTTTATACTTTGCAATTGCATGCCAAGAAATCGAGAGTTCATTAGCGCCAGTTCTCACATCTGATTGCCCCACTCCTCTTCTGCAGGTAAATAGGTAAGACTGGGCACGAAATATTTGATGTAGATTGGAGTCAATCTCACCATTCCAGTTATTTATGTTTACTCCTCTTAGTTCTAAGTTCTTTCTCTTTACTGACTAGTCCTTTAAACCTATTTTTATGTAGTAATGGTATTTATAATTGTATTTGTTTCTGTTTTGATGTTCCTGTTGCTAGCCTCCTAGTGTGCCAATTTTTTTTATTTTTATTTTTTTGATTGGGAAAGAAGGATATGCCTTTAATTTAGTCCTTTAAACCTATTTTTATGTAGTAATGGTATTTATAATTGTATTTGTTTCTGTTTTGATGTTCCTGTTGCTAGCCTCCTAGTGTGCCAATTTTTTTTTATTTTTATTTTTTTTGGTTGGGAAAGAAGGATATGCCTTTAATGAATAAACGGTAATTTGCAGAGCTTCGAAGAGTTCCATTTTTGGACTACAAAGCCTACATTCCACCAGCTAATGCAGCCAATGGTAGGCTGGTGGACGCTGGGAGCTGTAGTTTCAAAAAAGAACTTACCCGGACTCCAGTAATAAATAGAATGCATGACAAGATGAAGAAAATAATCTGGGCCAACGTGTGGGAACTGGCTTATCAATTCCCCTAAGTATTGAAGTCACTCGCAGTTTTTTTTTAATTGACATTGCAAGTGAGGAAAAAATCTTGTAATGTGAAGAAAGCTCTTATTATAGAGTTGTTGTTTTTTTTAACAAATGCTGATGACTGTTACTCAAAGCATTTTTATAGGAAAAGAAACAAATAAATTATATTGAAGTCTGTATTGTATGTTGTGTCCACAGGAATACAGATCCCTGCCTTTAAAGCAGCTCTGATAATAAAGAGAGGTTTGTTCCTTTTGCTTAATGCATGTCGCAGCTCTGATAATAAAGAGAGGTTTGTTCTTTTTGCTTAACGCGTGTCGGATTGTCTTTCTCTTGCTCCATTAAAGAAGGTCCCTGATGAGCCAGTAAACAGAAGTGGCTATGATCCCTTTGCTCAAACCATTGTCTAAGGGAAGTCAAGTAAATATTTCTCCCCCTCCATGGGGCTGGGCTGTCCTTCACAAGAACAGGAAAGCATTGATTGAGAAGGTGGTGATCCTGTCAAGGATGCAGACAATTGAGTGAAAATGACAGACAACTGGGGGTGGGGTGGGGGGAGAACACTGGTGTTTGCCTTTATATGTGCAGAAAACCTGGATAAGCTTTTGACCTGTGGCCTGCCATGAGCAGGCTAGCACAACAGCAGGCTACTTCTGTGCAGGGCCCGTATATATTATGTGTTGGAATGTGTGGTGGCTGAGCAGCTCCAGGCTCT